GTACGACTATGGTATTATAACTCTCTCGCTATGGTAGGTTAAAGTGAACATGCCATGACTTCTTATAGAGTTATATTCAAAGTTAATTAAACCTACTTATTTTCAATGTATATGAGTAAACTTGGCATAAAAACATAGCTAATAATCCAAATTTTAATATTATATAGGTTTTAAGTTCTTAATTTTATAAGGCAATATAAAAAAAACCTGAATTTCCCCTAGTATGAGAAATGTGAAACATACTTTCTAGGTATCCTCTCTTTAATTTATTTACTACTCTTCCAAGAAGTATGAAATTTAATGTAAATTACTCATTATAATGTCATCACTCATGCAAAGCATTATTTTTGTAGCTTTCAATATTATTTGGTTACAGAGGCATAAAATAGAAAATCCTCTTACCATGCCCACCTGTCACATCTTCTCTTTCAGTAATTGGCAATAGTGCACTCTGACGTTTAATACTATGTTACATATAACAAACATAAAGCCAGAGTTTTAATATATAAAATGACATATTATATTACATTATTTTCCATACAAAGAATTTTGCTTCCAGTTCAAACTTTATTCCCACAGGAAGCACATTGATGATCTTGGATGAATTTTTAACAGCTCTTGTCAAATAGTTAGAAAGCCAGAAAAATTGTGATATTTATGGTACATTGTCTACTTTTTGCATGTTATTATTCTGTGTTCTTTGGTGCATTATTTAATTAAATAAAAAGTTATTTAGTGCAATAGTACTAGTAGTATAAATAAATAGTAGGGTTAAGTTTCATTAACAGTTGAACGTAAAAAAAAAAAGACCCAGGTAAGTACTTTATTTCTTGTTTTTCAGTATTCTTTATTTATTATTAAAATTTACCAATTAGAAACTTTTTAGGTTGATTAGATAAAATAACAATAATAATTTTCATGAGGTATGTTTGTGAGTAACCCATTCATTATGTAATTCAATAAGTTAAGGTGAGCTACACACTTGCTTGTGATTTACAAATTTTATAACAGGAATATTAGTTAGACATGGTTAAAGGAGCAATAAAACAATAAAATTTAAGTAGAAATAGATGTATACTGTTACAAGTTTATAGCTATTCAGGATAAACAAATGTAGTTTCATGTTACAATTTGAAGCCATTCTAGAAAGAAAAAGAGTAGTTTAGATTCATTTCATCTTTTTTTTTTTTGGTGGTTACAAAATTGTTTAAATTGACCACCTCCAATAGAGTTAGGATAGATAAAATATAAAGTTTTACTGAATAAAACGTTTGAAATTTATTTAGGAGGTTTTAGAGATTACGCAAATGAAATTTGAGATTTTTCAAGTGAAGAAAAGTGTTTTTAATCTTAACATGCAAATCACTCAGCACTCAGAATAGTCAACACTTTGCTTCTATATATTCATGGAGAAACTTGTAGTGTAAATACTTCATTAAACATTCTGAATTGTTGTCTATAAATGAATTAATGATTACTAAAAACTTGTGAAATTTAGTGAGGATACATAAAACATATTAGAAGTTGTAGTATAGAAACTATAAAGGTCAAATTGGGGTCCCAAATTTAGGTAATTTGACCAAGCCTGTAGCGAGATAGTTAATAAATCAAATTTTCATATTCTGTAAGTTTTAATCTCTTAATTTTAAAAGGAAATATTTAAATATATTCTCAATCGCTCCTTGCATGAGAATCATGGCAATTGTTCATCTAGTCTTGCCCATTCTCAAATTTATTTACCACCCCTCTCCCCCTCTGAAGTAAAGTTTAATGTAAAATACTTAGTATAGATATTACGAAGGCAAAGTCTAATTTTTTCAGCCTTCAATCTTCTTTGTTTATAAAGATATAAACTAGGAAGTTAGGCCCACTTGCCATGTCTATCTTTATCACATCTTCTTTCACAAATTGCCAACAATTCTCTGTGACATTTTCTATTACAACTATTATCATTTACAACCAATATAAAGACAGTTTTAATCTTTCAAATGATGTATAATATTACATTGTTTTCAGTATTATCTATCTTGAAAGTTTCTCCCACATGTTCAGTTTAAGCTGCTAAGGGATTTATTTTAAGGTTCTTATGCCTCAGTTAGAATGTCAGTTAAATTATAATACTATTATTCTATGTTCTTAGGTGCAGTCTTTAAATAAATAAAAATTATTTAATGTAATAGTACCATCATTACAAAAATCAGACTTAAATTTCATCGGCAACTGACAGCAGAAAAATAAAATGTTGAATATAAGTACTGTATTTCTTGTTTTTCATGTATATTTTTTATTTATTGTTATAAAAGTAACTAAAATTAGAAACTTATTAGGTAAGATATTGAAAAATAGTAAAAATAAAAGGTATGCTCATGGGTAACTTGCATGTTACATCATTCAGTACAGTAACTTAAGCTATGTGTTCACCAAGTAATTTGCAGATTGAATGGTAGGATTGTTAGACGTGGTTCAAAGGGCAATAAAACAATAGAATTAAGTAGAGATGGGTATAAACTGTTATGAGTCTTAAGCTATTTAAGATAAACAATTGTACTTTCCTGTTACAATTTACAGTCATTCTAGAAAACAAAGAGTAATTTAGATTATTTTGTATATTTTTATGGTGATAACAAGGTCAGTAAAAACGACCAAGTTCCTTTAGAGTTTCTGTAGAAAAAAAACAGATAAAATGTGAAGTTTAACTGAAAAATAAAACATTTGACATTTATTTATAGGTTACACAAATTATATTTGAAAACTTTCAGGTAAAGAAAAGTATTTTTTATATTAACACGAAAATCACTTTGCACTTGGAGCAGCCAACACTCTGACTCCATGTATTCATGGATAAATCTTTAGCAAAAATACTTAATTAAGAAATCTGATTTTTTTTGTGTACAAAAGACTTGTAATTTTTACTGAAAGCTTGCCAAATTTTGTGAAGATACACAAAGTTGTAGTATGGATACTCTCATGATTACTTGGTGATTACAAGGTCCATGTAATTCACTGACACCATATGGAAAGTAAAGAATTAAAATACATGGTTCACACAAATTTAGAAGTATACTTGCACATGCTATTCTAAAATACTTGGTTCATACAAGCTTTAAAGTATATTTACATGTAGTATCCTAAAATAATTGCTTTCACAAATCTAGAAGTATATTTACACATAGTATTCTAAATTACTTGATTCACACAAATGTAGAAGTATATTTACGTGTGGTATTTTAGAATACTTGGTTCACACAAATCTAGGAGTACATTATATTATAATACTGTGATGATTTTCATCTGTAATGCATATACACCCATATTACAATATTTAAGCTACTTGTCTAGACAAAGCCGTGTGCTTTGTAGATTTACAAAATGAGGCTACTGATGTTTCTACTATAAAACTGCAATTGAATGCTTAAGTGAGTTTGCTTCTTATTTCACATGAAAGGCCATACTCGTGCATGTTTATTCTAACATTCATTGGAGTTATATATAGCACTTAAAATCAACTGGAACTTATAGCTGCTCTGCTATAACTTTAAGCATTTTAAAATTTCCAATCTGTAAAAATCTTATGTTATTGAACTTTACTTTATAGTTCCATCATGTTTAGTACAGTGACTATTAGGAAACTAATATCCTTAAGAGTGGAGGGTTTTTCTGTACATAAATTGCAAAACTTTTGATTAGTGGAAAATATTATTTCGTTAAGTATCTAAAGTAAGAGAGACATCTATCAGAATGTCCTAACAGGAAAAAAATGCTTTAATCTCTTATTGTTATAAAAGTGGAAAGAATATAAAATATTTTATAGTTAAACTGTTTTGCTAAAGTTTTGATAATACACTGTGTATCTATTAAGTATCAACACACTTTCTGACTTGTAGATAAATTATACACAAACATAATTAAATGTCATGCCATTATAATTGTATTTTGATATTTAAAATACTATATTTTATGGTTTAACTATGTTAGTAGTTGCAGAAAAAAGTTTTTTTAAATAAAAAATAAAAAGTTGTGCTTTTTGAATAGCTTCTTACAAAATATCACCTTCGAGTGCTGTGTGTAGAGAACAAAAAAAGTGTATGACCATAGCTGTTTTTTCTCCTCTAGATAAACTTCTACTTTATAGCACGTGAAGGTTTTCACATTGAAGCTTGGGCTGTATTATTCTACATTACCCATCTGTAAGTATTATGGTGATGACAGTTGAAGAACAATGTTTAATAGATATATTTATTTATTAGTTCATTACACTTTATTCTGATAGTTTCCTTTAGATAATTCTAGCTGTTTGCTAGGTGTTTCATACAGCACTTACTAGTTACTTTTCAGTAGCCAAAATCAATTAAAATTAACTTTTTGATACAAATATTGTTTTGAAGTAAATGTTAATGTATACTTTTTAGATCGGTGATGAGATGCTCATTACTTTAAGGAATAAAGAATATTTATTGTGCTAAAAGTTGTAACTAATTTAATTAAATGTACCAATTCAGACGCATAACCTTCTTTTTTTATTGTGCTTATATGTAGTAAACACTCTTATCTTAACAGCCTGAAAGGAGCACTTCTCTTTATCACCCTTGTGCTGATTGGTACTGGTTGGGCATTCATAAAACATATTCTGTCTGACAAAGAAAAGAAAATTTTTATTATTGTGATACCTCTTCAGGTAGGGAAGGTTTTATTTTTCCTCATTGAATCAGAAATATTTAATAATTGCTTTATTTGCATTTTGTGTGACTAGAAAATCAAATGACACTCGCATACAAATGATGCATGAAATTTGTAAAAAGTGTACAAGCTAGTTCTTATTTTAGAACTTTAGTGCTACTTTTATGTTCTTTGGATTTAGACTTACCTTGTCATTCCATCATGTTTGTAGAAATTGCTGTTATAAAAAGTAATTCATAAGAGTGGAGGTTTTTACTCTGTATAAAATGTATAATCTGTATACTATTAAATCTTTTGATTTAATAGTAGCAAATATTATTTTATTATGTTTTTCAAGTAAAAGATGCATCCAACAGAATGGCAGAAACAAATATCCTTATGGGAAAAAAAATGCTTTTATCTCTTAGTGCTATAAAATTGGAAAGAATACAATGTACTTTAGAATTAAACTGTTTTGATACTTTTTCAAGAGTACACTGTGCTCCTATTAAGTATTAACTCCTGAGTGAACGCTATCAGTGTCTGGCCAAAAATCTTGATTTACCCATCAGATAGTGACAACATCTAATAATGTCTCTTTGGCTGATAACAAATCCAAACCATGTTATTATCCACTTTTATAAATAGACCAGAAGTTTGTTGTTTGTTTTGAAAGAAGATTAAGATCAACAAGTTGTGTTTGAGACTGCTTATTTAGTGTTTTCTTGTGAAATCTAACAATTTATTTACATCAGTTGTACAACAAAAATAGCGAGTGGAAAAAAAACAACAAAAAAATACTAACATTTTACTGCTACAGAAGTAATGAGTGTTCAGTCAGTTAGATGAAGGAGGAAGTGATGACGATGGTGATTCTGATCTTGAATTTGACTTTGGAAGAGAGACTAGTGATGAAAACAACTCAGATCAGTCATCAAGACCCAGTTCCAGTGCTTCTCAATCAGCTGATCAGAGAGGGCATCACCCCAACCATGACTTAATGGTACAAAAAAAGGCCACGAAAGCAAGCTACAGCTAGACCTGATCCATCTCGAAGGTTTATGTCCACTACTAGAGCCAGAGATCATTATTAGGCTGAGGTAGATCTGCAAGATAGGTCAGCCACAAGTAATGAGCTGCTGAAGTTTCTTGTGATGACAACATCAAAGAAACCACCTACTCAGAGACGATTGAGGTAGATGAACTGGACTTCCTTTACCCACTATGAGCTACTGAAGTTTCTTGTGATGACAACATCAAAGAAACCACCTGCTCAGAGATGATTGAGGTAGATGAACTGACTTCCTTTACCCACTATGAGCTACTGAAGTTTCTTGTGATGACAACATCAATGGGCATCAACAAATGGCTTAGCAATCGAGACTACTTCACCACCCACCAGTCTCTCTACACACCCTTTTATCACCAACAATAGGCTATTTACTTAACAATGCTTCATGTGGGTACCCCTGATGCTGAAGGGAAAAACAAAATTAAGAAAATTGAAATTTTATAAGGTATGGTGATAAATATTTGGACATCATGAAAATAATTCTGGCAGATCATACAAAAAATTATGGGTTTAAAGAGGTAACACAGTTTCTGACTTGATTAGCTTGCTCCTGCTTTTTAGAAATAACAATTTTATTTTTATATATTTATAGTGCAGGTTTGTGCAGCTGTTACTAAATCAAAAATCAAAGAGACGGTTTTAAGAAAATCTGAAAGTTTGTTATTTGTGTATTAAAATAGAGATTTGTTTAAGGCTGGAATGTTTTAAGATTTGGAGTTAATGAAGCATTATTGTTTTTGTAAGTGTTTTTTTGTAATGGAGCCTTTGAAGTATACAGTAGACCAGTTTGTTCTAATATAAGTACTGGGTATATATATATATATATATATATAT